AAACTGGTTAATTTTATAAAGAGGACCACAACAAATGTTAGTTTTCTGCAGCAGCAGGAGCACTACCATCCTTAATGATGGCTTCTTTTCCAAAAGTCCCATTTCTTCTTCTTCTCCTCCTTTTCTCGACCATTTGCATTCAGCAGGTTTTCAGCTGCGGCTACGAGAGCTGTCCGAGTGCGTACAACCGCAGTCAGCTGCACCTGCACATCATCGCCCACTCTCACGATGACGTCGGCTGGCTGGCCACTGCTGACGGCTACGCACACAATGACGTCAGTCCCCTGCTCTCCGCCGTCACCGATGCCCTTTTGCGCAACTTTGAGCGGAAGTTTGTCGAGGTGGAAATGTACTACTTCAGTCGGTGGTGGAAGCGACAGTCGCCCGACGTTCACGAGGTGGTGCGGACGCTGGTTCGCAGGGGACAGCTCACTTTTGCCGGGGGCGGGTGGTGTGTGGCGGATGAGGCGACGACCACCTATGGATCCATCATCGATCAGATGAGTCTGGGCATTGACTTTATCAGGGAGACCTTTGGTGACTGTGCCGTTCCTAAGCTCAGCTGGCAGATTGACCCGTTTGGTGCTTCGAGAGAGGCGGCCCATCTCTTTGCTCTGATGGGCTTTGACGCACATATGACGAATCGTGGTAATGATCAGCTCTTTGGAGAGTTCCTCTGGAACACCAGCAGTGATGGACGGGAGATTTTTGTAACTCGTATGCACAAACACTACCATGCTCCGGATGGGCTAAACTTTGAAGATGGTAATTTTACCCTTGGTGATTTGAGTAATTGTCAGGAATTTTACTAAACTGTTCTTTGTTTGTTTAGTTGACGAAATTACCGAAGAAAATAAGCATGCAAAGGCGAAATTGTTGGTGGAGTTAGGTCGAAAGTGGAACACCGACTACGGCTCAAAGGGCCACGTTCTAATGACCTTTGGGCATGACTTTAGCTATAAGCATGCCGAACGGTGGTTCTCCAACCTTGACAAGCTCATTGAAGTGGTCAACGCTGACTACGCTGACGTTCACCTGCACTACTCCTCGCCGCACTGCTACGTGAAGGCAGTTCGCGATTTGAAGTCCAAGCTGCAGGTCAAATCGGCCGACTTTTTTCCCTACTGGACAGGCTACTTTAGCAGTCGACCGGTGGTGAAGTACCTGGATCGATTCGCCGGCAATCTGATGAGTGCTGCTAAACAGCTCGAGGTGATTGCTTCACTGTCAAATGCTCAGCCGTTTATTTATGAGGCAAAAAATCAACTGGCGGTTCTTCAGGTAAGTGGTATGGAAGTAATGAGACATTTGGCTAACATCTGTTTTAATTTTTTGTTAGCATCACGATGCCATCACTGGCACCTCTCGTCCAGAAGTCATGTTAGACTACAAACAGCGCTTAGTCAGCTCACTAAAAGCTTCGTCTGCCGTCATCAGCCAGGCAATCGCCAAACTGACCGCCAAATCAGCTTCTTCTTCCTCTTCCTCTTCTGATCAGCCTTTCATCTACACCACCGTCAACATCAGTGATTTTACCGTGAAGCTAAACAAGTCCGCCATTGCTGCCATCATCTACAACCCCCTCGCTCAAGCTCACTCTTCGTGGATTCGAATTCCCGTCACTTCTTCGGTGAGCTACAAGGTGCTCTACGAAAACGGCACTCAAGTGCAGCAAGTTAGTTTAGTACCCATAAACGATAAAGTTAGGGCAATGGTGGGTCATCACCAGGAAGTAACTCACGAGTTAGTTTTTGAAGTCCATTCCCTTCCAGCTCTTGGATTCACTACCTTCTTTGTGGTCAAAGAGTCGGCCGGCAATTCACCGGTTTACAAGGCGGGCAAACTGGAAGCGGACAGTAAAGGAGATTTCCTTCTCAAAGGCTCCAACTTTCAGCTGCTCATTGACCACAAAACGGGTGGTATTATCAGCATTCAGCGAGGAGCTCACACTGCTGACCACCTGACGCAAAAGTTTGCCTACTACACTGCCCATCGGTCATCTGATTCCTATCGGTTTTGTCCCACAAAAGCAGCTTTCGGCCTGCACAATGAAACAGTCGTGCAGACTGGAAAGTACGGCGGTTTCTCTGAAGTGACGCAAAAGGTGAACGACTGGATCTGGCAGACTGTGCGTGTGTTTGAAAATCGTCCGTACATTGAGCTGGATTGGGTCGTCGGGCCAGTCGATGATAAAGATGGTATCAGCAAGGAGGTGATCAGTCGATTTGAGACAAACCTCAAAACAAATGGAACTTGGTACACTGACGCCAATGGACGACAGATGGTCAGTGCATTGTATTCTGGACTCTAGCAATCTAACATGATCTTTTACTTTTACTCAGATGACTCGTCATCGATCTCAAGTTACTCAAACTTGCAATGGAGTTAAAGAGCCCTACTCACTAAACTACTACCCAGTGACTAGTCAGGCTGCCATCAAAGATGAGCTGATGACACACGGCCCTACAATGTCCGTCTTTACCGACCGATCAGTGGGCGCCGCCTCACAGACTGATGGCACTCTTGAGTTGATGGTCCACCGCCGGTTGCTGGATCACTTAGGCAATGGCATTGACATGAATGACCGGGACACGGACGGAAAGGGCATCGTTGCCCGGGGAAAGTTGCTGCTAATGTTCAG